GCCGTGGTGTCCCCCCACCCGGCAGCGCTGAGATCCCGCCGCGGCCTCGAGCTCCGAGCGAGCGCCCCGTCCCGCCGGCCACTCCGCGGGGCTCGTGTCAGTGAGGCCGGGAGGAGGTTTGGAGGCAGCGCCCGGGGGATGCAGCCGCCCTCGGAGAGCTGCGCGCTCCCGGGGCCCTGCGGGGGGCCGGCCCTGGCGCGCGCTCGTGACGCCGCCTCATCCCGGCTTGTCCCGCTCCTCTGGGGACGCTTCCCGCTAGGTTTTCCAGGGGTGAAACGAGCATCTGGGGGCTTTCCCGAACAGAATGGGCCGCTCTTCACAGTCCCAAAGGGCATCTCCGAAATCCATCAGTTAGGGACTGAAATCAGCTGCCCTGCAGAGCCCACATGTGGCACCCGAGGGACATTCAGAGCTTCACACGCTGATACTAAAGGCAAGAAGCAAGTGGCCTGTTAAGAGCCGGGCTGACCTTAGCAGCGACTTTCTGTGGAAACGCACCAGGCTGTAGGGTCACCTCCATAGTGTCACCAGTGTGTGGCCCAGAAGGTCACACCTGGTGGTCAGCGTCCCAGGAGACGCCTTGAGTTCTGCTGAGGAGTTTTACGAAATAATAGTTGTCCAAAGAAAATAATTCCTTTTGAGGGAGGTAAATATGATGCTTGTTTTTCAACTGCTGTCATTGATAAGACTTCAGAAATCTTTACAGAATTTTGCCTACTACATCACTGTGATTATTCTCTTTTAACTATTCTTGTTCAGTTATTCTCTATTTATTATGCAATGCTCAAATTATATATTTTTTAAGTATTCACTTTTTTTTTTATCTGTAACTGGTGGGCAAAATTCTCCTTTAATGAACAGTACGAAGGTACTGCTGCTGGCTGCACATCGGTGAGATTTCATCCTATGGCATATCTTCCTTCCTTCCAGCCAGTGCAGCTGATTTTGAAGAAAAGAAGCCTAATCTGAGAGGGAACAAGTCAAAAGTTTCAGCTGGAAGGGAGGAGGATGACTGTGACACTGGAGTCTGCAGCTCAGTGAGTAAGCCGTCAAAACAGAAAGCAGTAAAATTGCCAGTAAAAGAAGAAAGCAAGAACACTGCTAAAAGTAAAGGGAGTCATAGCAAAGACACAGTCTGCAGGTAAGTTCCCTTACTGCTCATTGTTATCTTTACTCATGATTATATGTTTTGTTTTGGGCCCAGTGCTGCAAATATGCATGTGTAGCTTAATTTAGGCAGAATTGGTCTTGGGGAAAACAATCTGTGGGGAAGCAGATATCTTTTTGTTGTTGCTGTTTTGGTTTGGTTTGTTTTCCTTCTGTTCTAGTTTTTCGTGGGGTTAGGGAATGGTCTTCCCATAGATGCTGCTGTAGCAAGAATGCCAAAGTGATTGGCTGGTCTCATTTCACTGGCCAAATGAAGCCGTGGGTATTAGAAAAAGTTCTCATTTCCGTACGCTTCGATCAGTAAGAAAAAATGATTCTTTGAACTAATTCTCCAAGAACTCATTTGCACAAGTGGTTTTAAAGGATGAGACCTTTTGTACCTTTAGGCATCTTCCTTGGAAAATCTTGCTGAACTAGGACTTAAGTTTGTACTGGAAAAAATGTCGCCCCAGTGAGCCCATGGATGTTTGTGACACAGATGCTTTGCTTCATAGAGAATGCATCTGTGGCTTAATTGCCAAATATTGAAAACATTTGAGTTTGTTGTTATGCATACAGAGGTCATGCTTCATTTATTGATGTATTTTTAATGTTCTCCCTTCTCTGTTTCATCTTTTTTTAAAAATAAACAAGCACCTACACTTCATAATGCTAAAGTCATTTTGATAATTTCAATAGTGACTCACCAAAGGCCCCTCAGAGACAGAAAAATTTGAAGAGAGAATCTCCTATTAAAAAGGAGATTGATGAAGACAATGCTGCTGCTGATGACGAAAGTGAAGAGGAATGGGAGGATGTGGAAGGTAACATTTTATTGCGTGTTCATTTTAAGGATTTTTTTTTGGGGGGGAATTTGGTTAGTGAGCCATTTTGTGTTTGGATTCAGGTAGGTGAGTTCTGTTTACTTAGAGCACATTCCATGTGCATATCTTTTTTTTTAAAGCCAGTGTTTCACAATAGTATTAAGAATCATTCCAAAGTAGAAAAACAAACAAAAAACAAAGAACAACTATTCACCTGTTGCAGTGCCTTGCATTTGACAACCTGTTGGCTTCTGTTAATATGCTGCCACTATTCACAGCACTTTTTTAGCCTTCTGGGTTTTCTAGTACTGAGAGAAGCTAAGAAAGAAATGATTTGGAGATTCAGAGGGGTGTGTAGGTTCTTATCCCATTGGCAGCCCTCCCAATACTATCCGTTCCATGTGGATTGATTTTAATATTTTGTTTTTCCAGAACTCCAGGAACCTGCCATGGATAAGTCAGAAGATAATGTTGTTCCAGCAGTGGTGCTGCCAAACAAACCAGTTGAGATAGAGATTGAAACTCCAGAGCAGGCAAAGAAAAGAGAGAGACGGTAAGGCTGGGGCGGGTGACAATGGGCAGCGAAAGGTTGTTTAAAAGTTGAAGATATGCATAGTGTTAACTGACACTTATTTGCTCTGGGTGAAAATCCTCAAACTGTGCAGACTATTGGCTTGGTCTGATGTGAGATATCGAGCTAGTGGACTGTTTACATCCACAGAGGACTTTTTCTCTGAGGTTTGGTGTCGATGGAGGCTTTTCAGCTTCTTTGGAAATCAGTCCCATAATTTCATTGTGCTTTAGTGACCCCCTTCTCCAAACCCGGAATACTAACAGGTTCTAAATGGAAAGCTGTGGGTAAATGGTGTTGTTTTACTGTAAATATCTAACAGCTAAGGGGGAGGCCTCTGTTTGCCCACAACTGAGAGGTGACTAGATGGAGTGACATGAATGGCCTCAACATCTGGTAACATTCTTCCCATGGCAGCTGGAGACCTGGCAGTGTCTCCTGAAGTTACAAGGAGGGCACTGTCCCAGACCCACTTTTTATTGCAAAACATCTAGAATATACCTAGTCCCTCCAAGTCAAAAGATTTCACCAATGAAATGAAAGTTTATCCAAGAGACTGGCTGTAAGAGTAGCAGTAATTTAAAACACGATTCAGAAAGCGAGGAAGAAGTTTAATATGGAGCTGCCTAAACCATCTGGTAGGAAACTCTAGGTACATAAAATTATGTGAGATTTAGGCAATTAGAATGCATCTGAGTTCTCAGTAGTCAGTTACATATAGTTTATATTTTGTTAGTCATATGCATCGTGTATGCCTATTCACATAGCCATTAACTAAACTTTTGCTAAGGGGGCACAGAATATTCTCAGGGATGGATTCTGTTTGTGAGCTGATACAGTTCAGGAATCTAAAAAGGCAGGTCCACAGAAAACCACAACATCCATTTCTTTTGTAAACTTGTGCAGAGAAAAAAGAAAAGCCGAGTTTGAGGTGTATCTTCGGAGAATGATGAAACGTTTCAACAAGGAGGTTCGTGAGGACACGCATAAGGTATTGGTCACAGAAACAACAGGTAGAGAGAAGACTGAGCATAAAGATCTCTGAACTGATGTGTGGTGAAGAAGAAGCTAATCTGATCAAAATAATTGTGGGCCATGGTTAGAAGTGAAAAGATAAAAACGCTGTAGTTAAGACAAATAGTCTTAGGATTTTTCTTAAATTGTAAGTGGGAAACATCAATGACTGTGTTAGCAGACTTCTAAAGGGAAGTAGATGTGAGCAAGCGTGTGTTTCTCCACTGAGCCTGTATTTGCTCATTTCTGTTGAGGTTAAACTGTCAGTCCTAGATCAGGAGATCCTGACAGGGACTTAAAGTTTTTACTGTCCTCTCGTGATCCGAAGACAGCCATGGGTCCACCGTGAATATTCTTGGGAGGCTTCATTGTTGCATATCTGCATTAAAAGAGTAGTAAAGCCTTCCACGTGTTTACCATGGACAATAGTTCAAGCAAAGCAAGTCTCGTGTGAACTCACTGTGGAAACTTTTGTTTCTCTCAGGTTCATCTGCTGTGTTTATTAGCAAACGGTTTCTATAGGAACAGAACCTGTAACCAGCCAGATCTTCTTGCTATCGGTCTGTCCATCATCCCCACACACTTCACAAAAATGCCTGCAGGCCAAGTGGACCTTCTCTGTCTCTCCAACTTGGTGAAATGGTAAAGCTCTGTCTCCTAATAGTGCTATCCCATGGAATCTAAAGCCACAATTAAGGGGCAGGGCAGGGGGATGATCATAATTAACAGTTTTCAGTGATTTCTCTGATTTTAAAAACAAGGATGAGAAACTGTTTTTGAAGGAAACTATTTAGTGAAGGAAAGGGGCTAAGTTACAGAATACACTTAGGATACTAGAAAATAAGCAGCTGTCTCATTTTTCAGGTTTGTGGGAACTTTCACTGTCAATGATGAGCTTTCATTTGAAAAAGGAGAGCCCCTTCAGGCTACCTTGGAGAGGCGCTTTGCCATCTATGCTGCAAGAGATAATGAAGAACTGGTTCATGTAAGTGAATTTGGATGCCAGATCATTAGCTGCCAGGTTATACACCAGGTGGTGTTTGAAGAACGGGTTTGGAGAAAACGTATCAGTAATTTAGGTGATTGCCTGGCTTTTTATTTCTCTCATATTTTTACTGGAAGTTCTTCCGTGATTAAATTCTTCAATTTGATTAAGCTATGTCTAACTGGAGCTCCTAGTTCTAGTAGTGTCCCTGTGTGCTCTACGTTCTGCTGTGGGTGACCTTACCTGTCGTGTATCAAGTAGCTTATTTCTGAGTATTGTTTGGTGTCTTTATTGGTTTAGCACTGTAGATTGAACAAAACCAGTTTACTAAGTGTCTCCTGAAATACAAATTGAGTGAGGAAATTCTTGTGCTTAGGTGGGCAGAGAATCTCTTTGCAGATCTTTTGAGTTAGAACATGGAGAAGAAGTCTCGCAGGAGACTACATTGATAGGGAGCATTTGAAAGAGCAGGAATGAGCTGTTCCTTCACAGCTGGTTGGCTTGCAGATCTGTTCCCATTGCTGACTAAGTGGAGTGTTGCAGGTTTCTGTCACCATGTGGGAAGTCCTGGCTCTGGTGGGTTTGCGACCTCATTGTGGAAGTGCAGAGACACCACTTGCTGGGATGGGAGGAAAAGCCCCAACAAGCTCTGCTTAGGCATTTATTAACAGCAGCTTCTGTTGGGTCCCATGCAGAAAGGCTGTTTGTCACTGAGCTGTGACTGCTGGTGCTCTCTGAACAGCTGGTGTTTTTGCTGCTTCAGCTGATTATACGTGACTGGCCTTGGCCACCTTTTGGAGGTTGGAATAGAAATGATTTGTGACAGAACCCAGATTGTAAAATAGTTTTAAGAACTCTTTTTTATATATATGCCATAGAAGAAAGAAGGAAAAAGTCCTTTACTTTTTTTCTTTTGCAGATATTTTTAATTATTCTCCGAGCATTACAGCTGCTGTGCCGTCTTGTGCTGTCTCTTCAGCCCATTCCTCTCAAGGAGACAAAAGCAAAGGTTAGTTTGCGTTTAGTGGATGGAATAAGGAATATGGCACTGTGGGTCAGAGAAAAAGAGTGAAAAAAACTTCTGGCTGTTAAATCTCAAAGGGAATCACTTGTTACATGAAACCAGGGTGATGACAGTATTTTGTCTATAATGCAGAAGACCCTTATTTATTAGGTTGCTTTAGTTTTTTTTTCTTTAAAAAAAGGTCATTTGTGGATGGGTAAACATTTCTCATGCTTCTGTAGTTATAAATTGCTTTAAATCTTTGACAGCAAAACACTCGCAGCTTGCATAATACTTCTGCATTTATTTTATGCCATTTTAATGAGTTAAACTAAGTCTAAGCTTTGCCCTGTGTTGTTACAATATTGATTTTAATTAAAAATACTTAAATGCTTATATGAGTTGATTTTGAAAAGTCTTACTTTTTTAACAAGAAAATGTAGATGTGCCCTTAATTTATTTTTCAAGAATCCATTTTATCCATTTCATCTTCCTTCTGCCTGGACTCTAAATAACAAGCTGACTAAACTCCAAGTCTGCTAGTTTGCTAGTAGCTGTTGCTCTCTTCAGTGGCTTTAGTGCAAGTGGGAAACCCGAGCTCAGATGTTGGAAGTGGTCAGAAGTCTCTCTCCTTCCATTTGCCTGAAGCTTTAGATGCCCTGAGATCGGTCCCCGTGGTCTGCATGCACCTTGTACAGTTAATTGATGCCAGTTTTCCTGACATACACTTACGTGATCAATGTGATCCCGCCTTTCTCTTTGCAGGGGAAAGGCTCATCCAAGAGGCAGTCTCTCAGCAGCACCTCTGAGGGGCAGGAGAGCTCAGCCACGACACCCAAAGCTGCGGCACAAAAAGGCTTCTGCAGAAAAGCCAAGCGGAATGAGAAATCCTCTGGAAGTGAAGACGACAACCCGGAGCTGAAGAAACCGAGCACTGCTCGGACCAAAAGGCCATGCAGGTCAAAGCTGACTACAGGAAGCCAGGAGCAGCAGGAACCTAGTAATGAGGACTCCAGTCCAGGGGAAAAAGATAGGCCAGTCAGACCCAAAAATGATCGCCGGAGACGAGTGGCCTCCAAAGTGTGCTACAAAGAAGAGAGTGGAAGTGATGAGGACAGTGTTTCTGACTTTGAGGCTTCAGAGGAGAGCAGTCTTTCCGATGAGGATTTTGAAACTCTACCTAAAAAGCAGAGGAGGTCATTGGGCTCCCAGAAGTCAAAGGTAAAAGCTGATAAAAACCCAAAACCTAAGACTTCAGAATTGAGGCTATCCAAAAATTCACAAGAAGCTGAGCCTAGACCAGCAAAAAACACAGCTGCAGCCTTGCCTAATGCACAGAAAAAGAGAAGCAAAATAATTTCTAGTGACGAGGATGAAGGAGAGCAGGAGCTGAGGAAAACGATGGGCACAGACCAGTGGCTGGAGGTTTTCCTTGAACGTGAGGACAAGTGGGTGTGTGTAGACTGTGTTCATGGTAGTGTTGGCCAGCCCCAGCTGTGCTTCAAGAATGCCACAAAGCCACTTTCCTACATTGTGGGGATTGACAATGATGGGAGCGTCAAGGATGTGACACAAAGATACGACCCAGTGTGGATGACCGTGACGAGGAAGAGCCGTGTGGACTCGGGGTGGTGGAAAGACACCCTGAAGCCGTATGAAAGTCCCTTTGTGGAAAGAGACAAGAAGGAGGAAAGGGAGGTAAGGGATACTTGGCTGTTTAGACCGAGGCACAAATAAGTTTAAATAACCTTGTTTATTCTGAAGAGTCCAAACCTTGAGTCCTCATTCAGGCAAAAAAAAATCATTAGGAAACATTTTGTGAGTGAGGAAGTTTGGTTTTGAGCTTGAGTTACTGAGTGTGTGTATGCTTTAAGGGAATTGTTCAGTGATAGATTCTAATAATACCACTATCCAAAAGGAGACTCCACAACCTCTTTGGGCAAGCTGTTCCAGTGCTCTGTCATCCTTATGGTAAAGAAGTTTTTCTTTATATCGAGATGGAACTTTCTGTATTTCAGTTTGTACCTGTTGCCTCTTGTCCTGTCACTGGGAACCACTGAAAATAGTCTGGCCCCATCCTCTTGGCACCCTCCCTTAAGACATTTGTATCTGTGCAGCTGATCACAACCCTCTGAGCTCTGCCAGTCAAGTCAGACAGTTCTCAATCCACTGCTGTGCCCAATATCTAGCCCGAACAGATTGAAGTACCTAATTACAACAAGAAGGCTTCAGTTCCTCGACTCAGCTCATTAAGTTTCTGATTCTTTTCCTTTGATCCAGACTATAATCTTTCTTACTTTCTTAAAAGACTAGCACAAAAGAGTTGTAAATCACATTTTTCTTTTGCATAATTCCTACAGTTTCAAGTTAAGCTTCAAGACCAGCCTCTGCCAACAGCAATTGGAGAGTACAAAAATCACCCCCTTTATGCACTCAAGAGGCACCTCCTGAAATATGAGGCCATCTATCCCGAGTCCGCGGTTATCCTGGGATACTGCAGGGGAGAGGCTGTCTACTCCAGGTGTGTGCTGCACATTTTGCCAGGTGTGCCTGTGACCTTCATAGCAAGCAGTTAAGGGCACTGTGAACATGAACAAGCCTTTGTAACGTGGATGTTTCTTTGTAGTTGGGGCAGAATAGGTGAGGGATTTTAAGAGCTAGTTTGCTTGAAGATTACCATGGTGGCAGTGGTATTTGCATCTGCATACCCTTTAGATGTAGCTTTCTTACCATACTGGGATGTGGATAGCAGTTTGGGCGTCCCTAATGGAAATGGTTCTTTCTCTGGCCTCTTTAGAGACTGTGTGCACACGCTGCACTCCAAGGACACTTGGCTGAAGCAGGCTCGGGTGGTGAGGATTGGAGAAGTGCCCTACAAGGTAAGAGGGTTTGGGTCCCTCCTGTGCAATGTGTGTGTCCCCTTGGGCGTGAGCTTGGCTCTGTTGTGGGTTTTGTCTCCCTTCCCTTGGTGGATGTACATATTTCACTGCAGCCTGGCTGGGGGTAGCCCCTGGCTGCACTGGGGGTCTGTATATCTGTGCCTGTGGTCTACGTGATGTTCAGCTATCTGCTCCTCCTGCCCTGATTGCTTCCAGCAGGACTTTACCCTTCTGATCCTGTTCAAAGACATTCTGGGACTTTTATATGAACTGGAGAATGTGGCTGCCTCTTGCATTCAGGTGCTGTGGGTTATCATGTGTAAGCAGCAGAGACTGAACTCAGCAAATGGGCAATTCTTCTCTCCCGGAGCCTTCTCCTTTGATGTCTCCACAAAGTCTGGAATCATGCAGTTCATTCTCTGCCTTTGGCCATTGCATTCCCACAGATGGTGAAGGGCTTTTCCAACCAGGCGAGGAAGGCGCGCCTGGCAGAGCCTGCCAACCGCGACAAGGAGGACCTGGCCCTCTTCGGCCTCTGGCAGACTGAGGAGTTCCAGCCACCCGTGGCGGTGGATGGGAAGGTAGCCCGGAGGGCAGCGGGCTGGGCTTGGAGGGAGTGTTCTCTATGGAGCTTTACTTTTCCAGAAGAATGTGCATGTTTCAAGACCAGGCAATAGCATCTGGATCCAGACCTAGGATTCTGGAGTGAGCATGCCCAGGGAAGGGATGCTCAAAACTGCAGTCAGGCCTTCCTATCCCAAGTACCCATAAAGATGGGTGCCAGCAGTACAGGCTGCTGACTGTCCAATTTGGTTCAGTTAATTTGCCTGCTTCATGTTTGTTCTGCTAATTTTCTACATTGCAGTCTTAGTTACAAAGCCTGGACAGAGAACATGAAGCAGGATATCCGTGGAGCTAAAAACTGGGCTTGTGTACTGCCCTGTGAATGTTAGTAGAATACTGCTGTGTGGTGTAGTAGATCAGAAACAAAGTGGTGTCTCATTTGCAGCACGATTTTCACCTCTCTCTGGAGGGCAGGAGGTATCACCACTTCTTTTTAATTATTCAACACCAGGTTCCCCGGAACGAGTACGGAAACGTCTATCTCTTCTTGCCGTCCATGTTACCGGTGGGCTGCGTGCAGCTCAGGCTCCCCAACCTCAACAGAGTGGCGCGGAAGCTGGACATCGACTGTGCTCAAGCCATCACTGGATTCGATTTTCACGGAGGCTACTCACACCCCGTGTACGTGAAGCTGCTCTGCTGCAGCTGAAGTGTTTTGATGTCCCGAGGGGGTTGCACTGAGTAGGAGACGTCCTGCTCTCTTGTACTAGCAGTGGCAAGAGAGTCAGTGGCCCTGGCATTCAGCAGTGATTTTATATTCTCTAAGAATCTGCACTGGCGTGGGAGGATAGGTGGTGATTTATGCCCTTAGAGCCTGTGAGACAGAAAAGCTGTTCTGTTAATATTCAGCATCCTTTGGTTAGTCTGGGTCAGCAGGCATTTGCTCTGTCTCTTTTTTCTTCTAGTAGCTGACAGAGGGTTGTGTTCTCCTTCCTAGCACTGATGGCTACGTTGTTTGTGAGGAATATAAAGAGGTGCTTATTGCTGCCTGGGAGAACGAACAAGCAGAAATAGAGAAGAAGGAGAAGGAGGTGAGAAATTCTTCTGCAGTTTCCTTACTGTTACTTTTATTAGGTCAGTTTGATGTAAGCCAGGCAGAATTAAACACAGGTGGCCTGTGTAAGTGGGAGTCATGTGTGACTTTTTCAAATGACAGTTTTAAATCCAGAGATATATTATCTAAATACATTGGGATTTATGATAGCAACATTTTCTTTTTTTCCATGACAATCCCATACAGAAACGTGAGAAAAGAGCTTTGGGGAACTGGAAGTTGCTGACAAAGGGACTTCTCATCCGAGAGAGACTGAAGCAACGCTACTGCATCAAGGTATTCTGGGCATTGGCTATTAGCGAGCTCTTCGGTGTGTTACATTTCCTCTGGAAGAGTGCAAAACTTCTGGAATGTGTTTACTCAATAATCTCTCTTTCCTGTTGTTAACTTGTGAATAACAGAGAGTTTTTTTTAAAAAAAAAATAAAGGTCAGAGATTCCTCTTGGTTATGTCCATGGATGGCTTGTTATTGTTTAACAAGAGACTAGTGTTTTCCAAAGCATTGTTGTTTTATGTGACTCTGCTGTTTCTACATACCACTTCCTTGATTTCTTCCTCCAAGCCAAGCATGTAGCTAACAGGATCAGAATGGTGTACTCTGTTATGTGTTTTAGTTCATAATTTTTACCATGTTATGCCAGCTGAAACGCATGATCTTTTTAAAGCTGGCTTATTCTTTTGCCACCAAAAATATTTTGTTTGTGTTGAAAGAGTGCTTGATATCCAGGAATAGAAGCACGCTGCTCACGCTGCGTTGGGTGAAGCCCAGAGCAGAGCAGGGAACTTGTGTAATGTCTGTGAGTGTCACTGTGACTGGAGATGAGCCTTTGTGGAAAGGACCAGTTACGAGCAGCTTCCACAACTCTCCATTTTCACGCTGTGACTGAAGATGAGCCTTTGTAGAAGCAGCTTCCACAACTCTCCATTTTCACACCTGTGTTTTCCAGACTGAGCTGTCAGCACCTGAGGCAGAGAAAAGAGCCAGATTCTCCTCTGATGAAGAAGGAGGTCCAAGTTCAGAGACTGCAGCAGGGGACTTGGCTGTTTCTTGGCCCCAAAATCGCCAAGCAGAGAAGCAGAAGGAAGAGAAGACAACCAGGAAGAGCAAGCGGGAAAAGAAAGGAGAAGCAGCCCACTTGTTTCCCTTTGAGAAGCTGTGAGCAGCACAAGCTTTTCTCTGCTGTTTCCAGCTGCCAGGAGGCTGGTGTTACAATAGGAGCAGGCTCTGCCAGTTAAGGACTTTTAGCCTTTCTTGTGTTTCTGAGCCATCAGGGAGCAACCTAGTTCAGCATCAGTTTCTTTTGCTGTCACAGAAAACCACTTTCATCCTTTTTGCTTGGAGTCCCGAGGGCAGATGTGCAGTTGTATCTTCTGAGAAGATCACTATCTATGCATAGCTGGGCTTTTTTACTACCTTTTGGAAGTATCACTCAGCATGCTAATAAACCTGTTTTCTTTGGCATTCCTTTCATTTTAACTGTCTCTTCCCATTTTTAGCTTTTGTTTTTTTCCCTGCTTGTCCTAACTAAAACTAGTTAACTATCCTAGGTGAGATGTCCAACGGCCTAAGTACTCTTAGATGCTTCCATTCATATTGTATCAAAAGCAGTAGCAAGGTAGGGTTCATCGCACTCAGTGCTTCTTTATCACAGGGAGAGAAGCATTTTTGCTAAGGTGTGAAGAAACGAGATCAGTACTGAGAGCAATCTGAAAAATTACTTGTTGAGGAGTATCTGCTTTTTGTGAAAACTCAGATTTATTTTCAGCCCAGGATCAGAAATCTTGTAGAAAAGAGGAAGCCCTTTCCCCCATTCAAGCATCAGGTTAAACATGGCATCGTAGGTCATTGTAACAACTCTGCGTGTGTTTTGGTTGGTTCATTTGTATGGTTTGGTTTTAGTTGGTTTTTAGGACAAAATGTCACGAACACTCTCCCTTTAAAAAGAGGGGGATACAGAGAGATTGAAATACAAGAAAATGGTTTTAATTTAAGTATGTTCAGAAAAAAAAATCTATTTTTATACTGCATACACAGGGCAAAATAAAGTATTGAAAAGCATTAATCTTGTCTGTTAGCCCTACCTCCTGGCCAGCTCCTTCTTCCATCGGCAGCTTTGTTTACTGGGAAGGATTCTAACCCAAGGATAAGCACACGGCAGCTGAGCTGCGTTTGGTTGCTTGTTTTATTTTTCCACCACACTACTGCCAAAAGCTGCAGATCAAGTTGCAGAATCTTCTAGTATTGGCTGACAGTGAATTCTTTAATGTTTAAAATATTTTTTGAGTTTTTGTACTCAAGTTAGGACTTAAAGAAAAAGATCTGACCTTTCCACAGGCAGGTAGAACTGCAGGAGGCTGCGGACACGGCTTGTCCTGTTACTCACGGTGCAGATGTGCAGGATACACCCTCTGATGAATACTTGGGCTGGAAGGATTCAAGTCCAGCTCCTGTTAACACCAGTGGTTTTTAAACCTTCTTCGAAGAGGACTGGGTACCAGCTCCTGCAAAGCACTCTGCACTTCCTAAATTGGGACACTTAACATGGATACCCAAAGTTAGAGTAACTTCCAAAGACAGGAACTTACCCCTCCTTAGCTCTAAAAGGAACAAACCGTAACTTAAGATACAAAAAGATAAATATACCTTGAGGGAAGCAAAGCTAAAATGGAAAATTATTGACATAGCCAGTGCCTGTCCTGTCAAATTTCTGTAGGGAGGCAAGAGAAGGATTTCAGTGTTTGTGTACATGCAATGAAAGCAAGTCCCAGCCTCTCCACCGTGCCTGTCCCACGAAACATTACATTCTTTCTGGGGAATGCATCTGTTTTATTTGCATGGTTACTGTGCACAAACTGGCATCTAAAAAAATATTTTGAGCTGCTGACTACATCAGTTAATCTTCACTCTCCTTAAAAGTAAATACATTGAATCAAGTCAAGCTGAACTATCACACAATGATCAGCTGATCCCTGTGGAGGTAAGGAAGTGCCTGTTATTTGCTAAGGAAGGAGGAGTGAGAGCGCAGGAGCCCGGGACCAGCCTGCCATCAAGTACGTGGGCTGCAGAGCAGCGCCGAGGTTCCAGGGAGCTTCCCAAGATGGAAAAATAGCTGCAGGCTCTGTAAACCATTTGGTTTGGAAGCTACACATCGTATTTCTCTATTGGACACTGCATGGACATGACATGCACAATTAAAGTAATGAAAAAAGAAACTTAAGACCAACTTTTTGAAAATCATTTTTATTAAATGTACAAAAGTTCAGCACTTCGTAGATTTCTTTTTCTCCCATCTCTAATATGGTAATGCTGGTTGTAGTTTCCTGCAACATTTGTATAAGAGCAGTCCAGCCCTTCTGCTTTTCTCCCCAGCAAAGTATAATTCTTTGATTCTTAATAATTTGATGGTGCAAAAGATGCGTTAGAGTGACAGAAATAGATTGCTCAGTCTCCCCGACACGTTCCTTGCATTAAACCAGTTCTTGCACTTCAGATAACCCTGCCCTCAGTACCACTGCTTTCACCAGCACAACAGGGCGGGGAGAATTTGAAGCTGAATTGACACCATTAAAATATCAAATAAGAAGAATTAAGGCTTAAAAAAGAAACAAGACCCTTGCGTTTCATAAATGAATTTTCCCTTTTAGTACTTTTTTTTAGCAAATACTTGCTTCTAGGTATGTTCAGGTAAATTCTTTTGCTAGGGAGAACGTATTTCTCCTGACACTCGTAACTGGAATTCATAAATATATTCACTGAAGACTACTTAAGTACTGAATTATATATATGCAGAGAAACAATACTGAAGTGTAGGCAGGGCACAACTAGAAGTGAGACTGTAGCGAGGAGCAGACAGACCTAAAAACAGTTCTTGATCATTTCCTATTGCACGTACCGGTGACAGCAGAAATATATAAACAGAATAATCACAATACTGCATGAAGTCATTGTATTAATGTGGTATAAAGATCAAAAGTTAGGTTCCTAAAGTTAATGAAATTAAGCAAGAATGTTTTCATGATGGAATTTCATGGAGCTTTTCATTGTCTTTGCCAAGTGAAATTAAAAATAAAAAGCAAACAACAAAAAAAAAACAGTATACACAGGAAGAAAACACCAAATATTTTGAAGAACATGATGCATTGGATCTTAAAAGTTAATCGGTTTTGTTTCAAGGCAGCAAGTTTTATTTTTAAAGGCAGATAACCTCTAAAATCCCTTTAAGCAGGTGCAATACTTGAAATACTTAGCAATAGTCCACACTACTGCTTTGAATGTCTAACCACCAACTTCAGAGGCTTTTAAGAAGCTGGGGGGCGGTGGGGGAAGGCAAAAAACCTTTCTGACAAGTCTGCGCTGCCTTAGAACACTATCCTGGCCACTCGTAGCTGCAATTTACATTTTAATTTAATCTTTAGTCCAAAAGCATAGACACAGTACTTAGGCATAACCTATCTCAGACAAACGGTGGTTTTTTGAACACGTACATTTCAAAATGCATCAGTGAAAGTGTACACGAGTGCATGTATAAGAATAAGGCAGAGGGAGAGAGTATCAAAGGAAGGATCATAATCATACACATATTTGCTAAGGACTTCAAAAGACAGACTCTGTGCCGCGTCTGGCCCTTTTTCCCTATAGACAAGGTGCCCATGATGCTCAGTGAAGGACTTTACAAGTTCTCAATAATCAAGCGAATCAAGAGTAGTAAGAGCAAATCTGCTCCTGCACTGATCTGTAATGAACGCAGACATTCCAAAATACTTTGTTCCCAGAGTTAATATTTCCTTCCTACAAAGGAACATCCTATAATAGTTTTACTTTTCATGGATAAGCATGTCAAGGGTCACATGCCAGCCCCGTCGCTGGCCGAACCGCATTGGGCTGCAGCTGTAACTGGACCAGAAAAACCCTTGAAGAGGTTCTAACCAGGACCGAGGGCAAAACCCAAGCACCCGGTCTCACTGGTGCTTCTTGGGCGGAACGCGAGACCTTGCGACCACGATGGGGACCACCGAGAGCAGCCCGATGAGCAAGGCCCAGAGCGGGCGGTAGAAGAACCAGCCAACGGAGATGGTCAGCAGCGACAACGAGCTGGCGGCGCAGAAGGCAAAAGCTTTTAACCCGACGTTAACCAGGTCTCTCACTACAGGAAACCAGTCCACTGCAGAGAGAGTTACAGGAAAAGGCTGTTGACAAGATGACTGTCTACCAAAACGTCCTATGTTGCTAATAATTCATTCCTAGGATCTGCACACTAACTGCTGTGGTCAGAAAACTCAAATTACTATCAAGGGGTCCTGGAGAGCATATTTTACTAGGGCATCTCGAGACATTTGGTAAGCAAGCAACTCATCGCTTCACAGAGGAAGTCTCCCAAAAGCAAGTGAAAAAGTAAAAAGCTTAAGAGGTGCAGCAGATGCCTAGGCTTGTTCCACAGCTATAAGGCTAACCTACAATAAGCAAACATGGAAATGTAATTTTTGACAACAGTAAATCTTGCAGTTGCATGTATGTGCATAGGAAGAAGAAAGAGAAGTGCACAGCTACAAAATACATTTCTAGCAATTAAGAACTGATTTCAAAGCACATGATAGCTTTGATGCTTGGAATTTATGCAAGTTTGAGGCACCGTACAGCTCTTCTTTAAGTTTTTATTCCAACATTTTTGTGAGTTAAAATAAGCCAAAACCTTATTTGCTGTATGCTTAAGATACTATAGACAGGGTGGTGTAATAGAAATAATGCTAATTAAGACCTCCTTTGGGGGAACCTTTTGTATATGGGTCTAAGACCACGTTGCAGCACCTGGAGTTAGACTTGAAAGAACCAAAACAGCTTTTGCTTTGGGGCTTTTGATTTTGGTAAGCACTATGAACCTCTAAGTGGCAAAGAGCTATTTACACATTTTTCTGATGTTCAGCCACCTGGCTCTGGGATCCCATTTATTGTCTGCAATTGTCAACAGTGACTTTCAAATCCAGGGCTCAGTGTGAGCTGAGTTTTAGTTTTTACCTTATTTTTTCTACCCTCCAAATTAACCTCTTCTACTCACATTTATAATTAAATTTTATTTCTAAACTGCGATACCTTTCTATAACAAACTTACCCAAAGTGTAAATGATTCGAGTCATTAAGTTGATGCCCACAAACATTGCCAGCCAACCAGCTGCACGAAGGGCCCAGGTCTTCATGGTGTTGCTCTCATGCTCTTTTTGAAACACCTCCTGAAAGGCAACACTGTTACACGCAGCCTCACGCATTTTCTTTTAAGATCTGTGTCCAGTACATTATGAGCAAGTCAGAGGGAACAGTGTTTACAAATTCTCCTGTAGAAAATACAGGGCAGCTCATCCTGTAGGGTCTGAATTTTAGCAGCAACACCTCAGTAAATTGCGACAGATGCAACACAAGGAAATGTGGATCTTTCTGAACATGCTGAAAAAAAATGACCAAAAAAAGTTTTTTTTTCTTATAGCCAGGCAGAAGGTGCATATTTTTTGCTGCAAACCAGTACATTGCAACAGATGCAACACAAGGAAATGTGCAACTTTCTGACCATGCTGAAAAAAATAACCAAAAAAAAAATTCTTATAGCCAAGCAGAAGGTGCATATTTTTTGCTGCAAATGCAGAATCCCAAAAGGCAAGTGCAGGCTATGCTGCCTTCTCCTAGACACAGGAAAGAGAAAAGGGAACGTTTAGACCAGATTCCCCGCTCCTCTAAAACAGGTCTGAAGGAGAACAAGAGTATATTTGCATTTCCTTGCTGCTTCTGGGCTGACACCTCTAATTTTAAGCTTCCCTGGTGTGGATTGGTATCTCACCTCCACAGAGAGGTCTCCAGGGTACAGAATCTGCAGGACATCTCCAGACTTGGTGTGGTATGGAATCAGCTGATCCCCACGCTGGCGAGCGACCACAGTCACCTTGGAAGAGAAGGAATTTTACTGGTTACCGAGCTGCCACCAGAGTTTGCAAGACACAGGAAAAACTAAAGACCGACCTTATCAGCTGAGCCCAGATGGGGGTTATATCCACTCAGACCTGCATAGAAAAATGAGACACGAAGGTCTCCCACCTAAAAACAAGAAAATATTGGAAATCAACAAAGTTATTTCCAAAAGAGAATCCCAGGAAAGATAACTGAATTGGAACACAATTTATTGGATCACATTTTTTCTGAACATTTATGTCAAACCAGTAGGATTTCCAAATTGCACTTTTTCCAGGCCAGATTAATAAAAGAAACAGTATAGGCTCAAATGCTGCTTTGCAAAATTCCCTCTGATTCAGCTGCAGGAGCTCATTAATGCTGAAGAGCTCCTTCGTTCGTCCCTTGCCTTTTCATCTTCTGGCAGAGGAGGGCAGGCAGCACCAGCTGACAACAAACTATTTCACTGCGTTCAACTCAGCACAGCAAGGCAGAGGTGGCACCATGCCATGCCTCTTTCCATTTAGAAGTATGGCAGAGGAAGAGACTCAAGAAGACAAAAGATACAAGCAGCATCAGAAGCTCTGGTCTACATGGTGCCCTACATATTGCAATGGAAGTGGGACCATCCTCAACTTTCCTTCTCACACAATAGCAATTGTTGCTTTGGTCTATACATCTCCTCTTACTTCTGGGCGCCTGGGGTTCTCACTATGGTAAAAGTAGTCTCCTGTCCTGGTAACATCAGCATGTGGATCCTCAAGGTGTGACAAGCTCAGCTGCTTGAAGTCATCAATCTTATCCACCAGACCTAAGCAGAATAGAGAAGGAAACTCAGATCTGGCATCTAACTTGGAAAGACCAGTTTGCTGGCTCCCTGGTTACCACTCAAAACAACTTTCCCTGTGGAAAGAACCAGAGTCCACTGCTGATGCAAAAGGAGACACAGCAGCAGCAGAGAGCAATACTTACCTTTAGAAAGAACAAAGCTGCCAACCTGGACGTTAGGAGAAACAGCAGTGAAAGACTCCACAGCCATGGCACTGTGGAGCAGAAACAGTCCCTGATCAGTTCTAGAGTTATGGGCAAACCCTTGATTTGCAGTATAATATACAGCACAAATGTCAGGCAAACTCCAAGAGCTAAAGGACTGACACACTGCAGCACAAGCAAAATGCTGCAGATGAGAGAAATAAGAAAAATTATATATGATTGACTGCCACAAACCAGCCTGTGAACTCTCACATACCAGCTCAGAAGAGCAGATTTCAAGTAGATGGACAAACAGTGATTCCAACTTTTTTATTCTTTCTATTACAAAATAGACAATTATAAATAGAAATTACAAAAAAAAATGTGTTGCACTAATAGATAATAAAAGTCAAAAAAACAGCCCACTTAAATTTTCCTATATGGAGACCACATGGTCCAGAGGTAACATAATAGCCTGACATCCCACCATAACTAATGGGTAAGTTGATTCCGGATGCACCAGGCAGCTTTGAACTGTTATCTAATCCCTCCATGTCTAAGTTTTCCCAAATAAGAATTCCAGCAGCTGTCATCTATCTTGCTGTACCATGAGGCTTAGTGATGCAGATCTTATCTTTGACCAGATATAGTGTGATAATCTAGAGGGACTGTCTACGTGTACGTTACCTAGGGTTTTTATGTCCAATTTCTCTATCGAAGTTTCTGCTGTTCACAACTTCTGATTTCCATTCAGTATCTAAAGGAAACGAAACCAAGACTCAGACAGAAAAAGTTGCCAATAAGATCTCAGTTACTTAAGAAAGGCCTTTCTCAATCAATGAATCGGTTCTAAGTTGCACTTACAGTAATGCTTTTTACATCAAAGCATATGTGTGATAGTCTGTAACAAAATACTTAAATCTAGCCTCTTAACATATTAACAGGAATGGGAGGGATTTATAGAAAAAAGGATTTTTAGGGATAAAATGGTGGCCCAACTATGCTCAATGGCATTTTTCTTGATCAAGCTTTGATTTCTAGCTCCTCTCTGTGGGAGTGATCTGGTTCTGCCACAAAGAGATGTGAGCTCTGCTGGAACTGGCAGACTCAGTACAGTAAAGCAGCAGATAGAGACACTACCTGAACATTTCACGGGCAAAGATTTACAGCACTGCTTTCATTCAGGCCAAGGCTGTCTCCCAACACTCTCGAGCCAGGCTCCAGTAGATTTCTTACACCTGCAAAACTAGGATTCCTTTTTTGAGCAGTTCCCATATTACCTTTAGCTCTGTATGCTTTTATGAATGAACAGAGGAAGAGGAAAGGGAATCTGGTTAAACAGTGGAGGAATTATTATAAGGGATATTGTGGCAACATACATCCTACTATTGGACAGAATCTATCAGTCTTGAGAGAGAAGTTTTGTTTGTTTGTTTGTTTTTTATGGCTTTTCTTTTTGTCTCCTATCACTGTAAAGCCATCTTTTTCCATACCTTACACCCACTAGATCTGATCCTGTATGTTTCCATGCTCTACAGTCTCACTTTTCACTGAGCAGGCCCAGAACTGCTGCACACCCACGTTACATGTCCACGTGCTTTAACTGGGGATAAATGAGGCAGACACCGATTCCAGAGATACAATGACTCAGAGCATTTTTATGCCACTGGGCAGATCAAAATAATCCTCTCTCTTCTGCTCCTGCCAAAAAGCCATTTGGCAAAAGCTGCAGTGCACATCAGGAGGTGCTGGAGGTTTTCATAAGCTGGTATCAACACTTAAATGGAGTCTCAATATATTGTTTTACAGGCTGGGGCTATCCTGTTCTTTCCTGTCTGTTCTCTTCAGCTTATGCCTCACATGCCCAGCTATCCTACTTTAAAAGAGGAATCTAAGCAGACACGTTGTGCTCCCAGCCCTGCCACCGAGGACCGACCCCTGGAACATCTATCCCTGAACAGTGCTCTGAACTAGGATTTCTAGTACAAGACTTAAATTTTCTGTAAAAACAGCACAGAGTCATCCTTTCACTTCGGTTACCTCCACAAAGAGAGGTCCTGACATTTGTTCAGGAAAACAAATGTTTTCTTGTTTCTTCAAACTCCTTTCTTTTCTTTCCTCAACAATTCCCCTCTGTAAATTTACAGGGTTTAAAACAGCAATCAACACGTAGCCACATAAAAGTCAGTCACACAAGAATACCTTCTGTTGATCAACTTACTGTATGTGTACTTAGTCTCTTTCTTAGTTTCACCATTCTCTTCATATTCCCTGCAGAGAAAAAGGGTGTGGTGAGAACCAGAACTGAGCTCGCACACAGCCGGTCATGCCAGAACACAATTCACCAATAAAACATACAGATAGTTCTCTGGCAAGACACTGCTAGTCACCAGCCTCCAACTAAACTGCACCACTGATCACAACTTTCTGAGTTCTGCCGTTTAGCCAGTTTTCAACACACCTCACTGTCTGCTAACCTCGCCCACTCTTCGTCAATCATAAGACCCAGTAAATCTCTAAAAAAAAATAAACTCAATTTGGGAGATTAAAAGAAAAAAAGCCCAAACAAAAAAATCATTACTGTTGTGGAGGAAAGGAAGAGATCTCAGGAAAGCCACAGCAATAGCATGAAGGCCTAAAAGCCCCATAAGAAGCTATATAGAGTCAGGAATTAAAACATTTTATAAAAGGCCTTGAAAGCCATCCAGATTTTATCAGATGCAAATTCTACAATATAAACCATTTACTAGACCTGACACCTGTAATGAAGCAAAAGCAACTCTGTAAAAAAGCCCCAGGAGCTCTAGAGTTTTCTTTTTTTTGTTGTTATGAGATTCCATTAACGCAATATCTCTCTAAATAACTTTTTCAAAGTTGATTATTAAAAAGTTAATAACTTTTCTTTCACTTACTTGGAATCTTCATATTCTACCCACTGGTACATTTCCACATTACGCTTAAGTTTGACAGCATGGATGGAGAGTCCATAGCTGGGATCAAATAAAGGCTATTTAAAAGTAAAGAAAATGCAAATCAGTACTTATGTTGTACTTCAGATAAACTCAAGCATTTGATTTTTATTATAGCCAATATTTGTTGGTTTGTCCTAAAAGGATACATCATTAACAAATCATTTTCATAGTGGGAAAAAAAACAATGCAGAAATGCAGACTTAAGCAGGCTTAACTGTTTAAGTCAGAGGAGATTTTATTTTGGTGGATGCTACCATGCCATGTTACGTCTTGCAACAGAGGCCGACTAGGGACAATATCACCATCGCTGAAAGGAGAAAAAAAAAAAAACAAAAAAAAACAGAATTTGCAGAGCCTCTGTACCACTGTACCACAGGTTCTCAAAGAACATCATGAAAGCCCAACAGGTTCCCTATGCAACACAGGAAATGAAATTATATAAAGGGCAATAGGAGGGTAAACATATATAGAAGCAAAATGTTTCCTGGGTCTGGGGAGGACAGCGCTGTCTCCCTTATTTTCAGCTAACAAACTATAATGGAAAAAAAAAAAAAAGAGAAAAGTTACATATCTGCTCTCTGAATATCAAAAATACACAGTTTTAATCTGAAATAAAGATTTTGCCTGCCCTTCAAGCTCTCCTGTGTCCAATATGCTAGCTTACTTACCTTTGATGTGCTCAGAGGGCCAGCTATGTGCACTAGCCTTCCCTCATTCTCTTGAGATACAGCTTGGATACTATGAAGAGGGACCACCAGAGAAAGCCCCTCATCAAGAGATTTGGCTGTCCTCAGAGCTCGTCCCTGCAGTCAAGAAAAGCAAAATGGAGTTGTGGAAGATCAATTGTACAGCATCATTTTGTGAAATGACAGGCAAGCAGCAGATCCTACAGAACACTTCTGCATTTAGCCTCAAAGCATCTTCCCCAAATGCCTTTGTAATTTTCAGCTGTCTCTGTGTCTGAAGTAGTCTGAGGAAGGACTTATCCATGCAGCAGACTCATTAATGCTATCTAAGCTACTAACACAAACACAGATTACTTTCACAAGGCTCTAAAAGTATTACTGAAGAATAACAAGCAAAGTGAAAAGAGTAAATGCATTAATTGCACCAGTTAAGATTCTTTTTCTCAGTCCTATTTAACTACTGGGCCGAAGTTCTCCTGTCCTTACCACCATGTTACAGTGTGTTTTTTTCCTGCAAAAACAGTGAGACTGGGAGTAGTCCTTTTTTCTTTTATAAACGTATGAAAGAAAGTAATGTGTGAAAATTCAGAATTCTGCTCCCCCTCTTCAATACTGCCAAATATACAAACTCTGACACTCTCCATGGCTGCAATCCTCGAATACTTACATCCAGCTTAACCTTGCCACCACCAAGACTGCCCTTGATTGCAACTGACATTGTCATGATGGGAGATCTGTGTGTCTTGGTAAGCATGGGTTTGCAGGGACAATGTCTTACCTGTTTATTTTAATTATTTAATTATTTTTTCAACCTAAAACTAAGACGCAAAATGACACTGAACATAATTAGCAGGCTCAGCTTTACAAGGCAGAATATTAATTCCTGTAACAATACCAGAAATGAAGAACCTACATTACCTCAAGAAAAAGACTGGTTACTTGCTTAGTGCATGTAATTTAGCTTTTTTTTTTTTTTTTCCTAATTTTGTTTTTGATACTGAGTTGGACATTCTACCATCTTGTGTGCGCTCAACTGAATCTGTACTTATATGATAAGTTCCATTCTTCTCAGCGACATGACACAGACAGGGACATAATATTGAACCACCATCATTCAGAAGGATATTCTGTATGAGCTGCTGCTCATACAAACCTCTCTATATAACCTATTTCTACACCAGCTGCAAGTTGAACTTAGCACTCTTCCTGCTGATGGCCATTATCACCACCACACTCTGTTGTATAGACAACCACAGCTATTCTGTTCTATTCTATCTACGGCTCCAATATTCCCATTCTTCTGTTATCCCCAGCACAAGCAACAGGCTCTCCAGACACACTAACTTTTTCTCATGGGCGAAATAATTAGGTTTGACCTTGACCATTGTGGTGAGCCTATAAACACGAAACAAGTTGAATACTATGTCAGCTGTGACATTATAAAGCAGTGCAGGCATTAGCAGCGTGCCACTTACCTCATTGGTAAAAAGAAGGTAGAAAGACAGGAGAAATGTCACAAGTCCCACCAACATGCCCCCAGATGTCTCGCTGAGCCGCTCCAGGAACCCTGGCTTGGCCTGGCTCGTGATTTTAACATGTTCTTTTTTGCCTGTGTCAGAGAACTGCTGGAGGCAAATCAGAAACAGAGTATTGCTGTGAAAGGGTAGAACATTGTTTCAAAATAAGTCTTTAAGCTTTGTTAAAACCACTGCTCTGCAGAGTAGCACTTCTTGCCTCGAACATAAGCTTTTCCTCACTTGTATTTTATTTTGCCACACTTTAGATACTAGAAACACAGTCAATAAATAAACTTCATGGAAGCATATTTTATAGAAAAAAAAAATCTGCGAATATACTGGTTCAACGTTTTTAAAGCCTCCTCAGCCCGTTCCGAGGTCGCCCACACCCTACACTCAGGCCGTGACAAATTGACTAAGACTTGCGAATTCCCGCCCAGCTGCAGCACAGCTAAAAATAACACGTTACATTTTCCTTCACCGGGGAACAATAGCCGCACCCTGCGCGGCAAAGGGGAAACCCGGCTCCCCCG